CGTGGTGAAGATTGCGCTGTGAGATTTTTGAGAATCAACTGCCGGCCGATTCAGCTCCACAACCGCAACAGGCTGATATACGTAGATTTACCTCCAACAACGACATATCACTCCTCCAACAAGCGGTGAAGAGTCGTCTGGTCAGTAGGTGACTGCCAAAGCCTGCCTTTTCCAGCTAATGTTTATTCTTTTCATCGCCTTCGGTAGGATGGGAAAATGGCGTCCGACGGTCATCATGGGCATCGCTTTCTCGGGGGTACAAACACGGAGGGAGCAGGATGGATCGAGTGATTTGGAGAAGCGCCGGCCCGATGACGTGGCTTTAAAAGCTTGGTGCAGGTCGACAGGGTATTCTTTAGTGGGACTTTCCGAGCGTGTCGACGTTTGCATTCCTCGACGTAGTGACCTGGGTCCTAGATGACGTATTCCGAGGAGGAAGTACTGATGCGTGACGCCTGAGTGAGCTGGATGAACCAGGGAAAGATAGAGGATGGGCGTCGTTGAGGAATATCATATATGGACCTGGAGAATGTTAATAAGAAGAGACCAGAAAGAAAGGCTGACACGCACCATAAACTCAATCACACTGTCATATCCCGAATTGCCTCGCTCAGTCAGCATTGCGGTAAAAATGTAGAGCACGTCTGAGCGTGGACACTGGATGGTTGTGGTTGCGGGGAGAACGGCGACGCGTTCGATTCCAGCCGGCATACGGGCCGTTTATCCGATCGTCTCTTCATTTTGTCTTCGTTGCGACTAGCCTCGCAACTGCTTTTCCCCATTCATTCCCCATTCTCAGCTCGCTTCTTAGATGTGTGAGATTATTGTTTTACTAATTGACTGTCCGCGCTCAGTTTATGTTGGTCCTTTGATGCTTTTCCTGGGCGTCAGATGCATCATGCTGGTCCTACTTACCATGTCTTTACATCTGCTGAGCGCGATTCTAGAAAAAAGACGACGTTGATTACACTAGCAGCATGAGGTATTCTTACTACTACAGCTGCCTAGTTCAGTGGTGTAGTGAGACACGGCAGTTCGAAGCATGGTAGCATGGTTTGTTTGTTGCGATAATTTCCTTTTCCATTTTCGCCCAAGTCCGAAGAGGAATACGTATCTTGGGCACATTCGGTCTATATCTGGTTCCACATGATACCGTATAGGTACCAGGCATGTCAGAGCATTGGGAAAGGAAGGGTTTGTCTAGACATATGCGCTCAAATTCTTAATCAAAGTCAAATCAGAATAGAGAACTGACTTCTGAAAACGAGCCTCGTGCATCTCATTCAGGGTTATTGCGATGGGAATGTAATGTACCTGAGTGCCCCTTGCGCATTCCAGTTAAGCTCGGTCAGTCGGGGAAGACTACAATTCTGCAAATCAGAATAAGCGAAGACAGAATGTAGTAGCACGGATAAATAACCTGACTTGTGGTTTGAGATAGATCTCTTCTGAATTTCATACTTAGAGCGATGATGACAGACAGCCTAGATCAAGGGTAGTCGCCACAGGAGAAAAGAGTCATTTGGTTTTGATTGTAAAGAAGTCCGACTGTTGAGGTGATTGAGAATAGAAACCCAGAGTAAACCATACACCGACCGTCTTTCAAATTTCAGATCCTAACGAGAGGGGGAGAAGAAAAAGTCATCCGGGAAACTCCGAGGCAACGTAGGACAAATCGGCCAAACGGTCCGTCACTACTAATACCATCATCAGGTGGGATGTTTATCGTGCCGCTCCACACGCATACCCTAATTTTCTAGAACCTTGCATTTCTCGTGCTGACGCTCAGCCTGTGAGCACGACTCCCCTGTTTATGCCAAGCTATCGCTTCGAATGTCTGCCAAAACAGATATCGATGATTTGTCGGTGATGCTTAGATGATGCTCTTCCGGCTGCGATCAAGGAAATCTCATTATGTGCATTATTCTATCGAGCTGCCTTGGCCCTATCCTCGCTCAGCCTTGTTGCATTCTTGGCTTCTCCCAGCTCCCACCATTGTGTTCTAGTCTGTTATCACACCTCACCTCATCGTCTCAATGCGTTACCAGGTCAACTATACCTGACCTCACCGTTTATCCCCAAGTAATCGCTCTTTCATACCCTCCGTCGGCGATTATCTCACCCCTGACGAATATACTGCACATGAGAAATCCGAAAAGAACCAGCACTGCTCTCCCGTGGTGATTTTCTTGTCTTTGTTCCGAGTTCATTCATCCTAAAGGCTTCCCCTCTGCTATTTTCGGTATGAAGTCCCTCTTCCCATTCCAGTTCGATTCTCACGAACAAAGGCTTAGCCATGTCACACCTGCTTGAACTTTAACAAATCCGCAGTCCTCCCCTGCACCATCATCACGACATTGTATTTAACCTACGACCTTTCTCACACCTGCCTTCATCCCCAACCATGTTTAGCAACCCTCGACAATCTTTTTTCCCGGTTATGTTTGCCCTAGATCATGATTGGGTTTACTGCTCATCGAAGGTTCTACCATCTTATTGCACCTTTACGCCTTGTTCACTACGCGTAACTATTGCCCTTTGACAATAATATTCTCTCTATATTCTAACTATTTATCTGACTTGCTCGGCCTCTTGTTTCGATTATCCCTTCGTTCCCTCGCCTGCACCGGATGCATGCTTTTCTTTGGTGCAGGGGAAACGCGCCTACCTATTCTTTCCAGAAACACCCCTTCCGTCAAATTATATTGCTCATGCATGAACGCATTAGTTCCGTATCCTAATCGATTATTAAGTTCTGTTGGCACTGCATGAACTCGTCCTAAGCCGAACATCTGTCGTCACCCTACATCATCCCTTGTCAAAGCTGGGATCACCGTTGCCCAAATGTACGGCATCAGGGCATTGACCTCTCCGAGAGATAGTCTTTTACCTCTTTCTTTTTCAGTACAACGTCTACCGCTAGTGCTTTCTTATTGACATACACTGCTTCATGATCGAGGATCGTCTATTCGCGTTCACTCCTCGCAGCCGGTTCTAGCTTTCGGGGAGGAAAAAATAGGATCCTCTTTTAGCTGCTTGTCCACCTGTTGCTTCTCTTCTAAAACGGGATCAGGCCTGTGTTCATTATCATCCGATGGTTTTTCGTTCTGTGAGGGGGTTATCCCAGGTCAGGTAGACCGGCGACCTATGTTAACAACCCACTGCTATATGCGATTCAAACATGGTCATCGTTTTCTCCGGTTTCTCTCACAGGTGCCTCGCATTTCTTCCCTCGCTACTTGATCTCTACTGCACTTGAGCTTTATCAGCTGCCGACCAGGGCCTGTTGTCGCATTAAATCAACCTACTACCATCTCTGGTTCGCATCTCTTTGTATTTTTGACCTGTCGGGTCACATTACTTCGCTGACATTCTGTCTAAGGATACACGGTGCCCCTCTCTTCTCCGTTTCAATGCTCACCGCATGGAGGTCTCGGACCTAGCGCTCTGGCTTGTTGAGTTCGGGAGTACGAACAACTGCCTCCCACATGGAAACCCGAACACCCATACTTAGCGCCAAAAAGATGATGGTCACAGTAGTTTCTCTACACATTTGCATTGTTCCGGAGGTTCGTTTCAATATTCGGTCTTTGAACCTTACTTGACAGTTTTAATGAGTCCTCGAACGGTGGGCTAGACATTAATTCCGCCAAAGCTTCTCTGGGAGATTTTACCCGCGCGCTTTCTTCGCACTCGTCTAACTTCCAACTCGTCCCTTGTATAGATATCACACAATTTTTTTCCTCCTGGCAACCATTCTCTTGAGTTGGATCCCCTTCTGTCTTGCTATTCCTGTGCTTCTGAGATTACTTTCGCTTAGGCATTTCGATACCTCCGCGAAAACCTCCGCTCCAAATAACTCACACCGGCGTATCTCTCCCCTCGTGCACTTCGAAGAGTACTAGTCTTGTTGCTGATCGGCGAGCCCAGGACAGGATTTCTCACATACAGAGTCCTGGATCTGACGCAAGAATCGACGTCATGGCAATCCAAATCTAGCGAGGGTCGAATTCATGCTATCCTACGTGTGCCTCTGTCTTGATGGCCCTCCACACAACTCGCATGCTTCAAAAATCCAGTAGCACATGGATCTATCGAGTCTATTCTCCTCTGGTTTAATACCGCCGGTAGGGTCATTGTACTTTCCTCATTCCCTGGCATGACAGCCGTGTCTATTCACTGCTACTTCAAGTCTCGAATCTCGATGTTGCACTTTGGTCACTACAGCTGTATCACCGCTCTTCTGCACATTAATTATCGACCGGTGCGTCGAACTTTATTATCTCCTTAGAGTCCTCATCATCAACCACGAGTTAGGTCACGAACATCTGCCACTATTTATAGATAACGTTGTATTTGCTGTCATCTCATTCAATTATGTCGCATTGCTTCCCATTTAATGGTATTTTGCAACAAGACCTTCATCTTTAATATGAATTTCTCGACTTAATTTATTGTGATCCCTCGCTGACCTGCTTTCCCGGTCGTGTGGAAGAGTTTCCGCAGGAGTACTTCCCCTCGATCATCATGATCACTTACTATTGATAGAGAATCGTCTTGTCCGTCCTTTAGGTTCCCAGTACTCTCTTGTCCGTTGGGCGCAGCTTTCAAGATGATGACGCGCCGCGCGCAACTCTTGCTGGTTAAGTATTCCAGACCCGTTCCGCTTCACCGTCTTGTTTTGCCAGTGCAGCATTATGAAAGAGTAACAGTCGACCTGAAAGTATGCTTTTCTTCAGTATGCGACAAACGTGCCGAGGAATGGACTCAGGCCTGAAGAAAGCCAGCCTTCAAGTCGGGGAGACTCAGTATAGAATGACAATATATCCCGTCCAATAAACAAACATCTTCGCATGAGTCTTGTGCACAACTCCCGTTTATTTAATGTTTGGCCAAATTCCCCGTGTTCCGAAAACACTATGGTTCAAGCCAGGATGAAATACAGAAGGTTTGTATGATTAGGTCGCCAAAAAGATCTCTTGACCTTCGAGATCTACTGACTCTCTGGCTGGGAATCGAACCCAGCTTTTACGCGCGAAATTATCGACAACATTACAGGCGCCTGTACTAACCGATGGGCTACTAGAGATATTCAGCTATGGCCTGAATAGTACTCTGTCGTGGTGTCAAGCAAAAGAGGCCCTAGAATTGTCGAGTTAACGGAAGAACTTGTACTCTGTTGGTCTTAGCTATGATTTAGTGGTTTATGAGCCACTGCAGAACACTTGAATACTCGTATCGTACGAGCAACCTGCAAGAGAGACAGAGAAACAAGTGTCAGCGTCGAAAGAAATGCAATATCGGGTCAGACGGACCGCCGGCGGTCCACGTTGATCATCGCCACCATGCGTGGATTCAAATGACACGATTGTTCTTTCCTCTGATTTAGCTCGGATTACTTCTCTTGCTACTTGTAATTGCAATACCCGCAGTACTTGAAAGCAATGGTGGATTTTACTCTCAGTACCACAGATAAATCATAAGTAGTTGTTACCGAGCCAACATTGATTTCAAGCTTAGGCTGCTTACCGGTCCTACTACTTAGCATGATTCCTTTCCTGATAATGAGTAGATCATTTTTAACTTTTCTAATTCATGCCGGGTCTCGTGTTCTTGTACTTTACCCTTTTCCGATGCTCGCCTTTCCCAGGTTCAATCTCGCGGATTCAATATTTACATTCCTTCACAATGTGCTTCCCCGTCGGAGTAATCTTTCCGGACAAACTTCTCATTCGCCGGCACCCTGTGCTCTTCGTACTCACCACACCTTACACGGAATTTTTGGTCCTAGCTCCTTGTCTGCTTCGTGCACAAAGACCCATCTGCGGTCGAAGTAACTTCGCTTGCGCCCCTCGCATGCTCTCCTCGCATGCTTCTATGGGATTCCCATTAACATCCACGAGTCTTATTACTCTATACCACACCAACCTTTCTTCCCAAAACGATCGAGGATCCCAGCAACGTGTACGATCGAGCGATAAGAACAAAGCTCGTCACCTCGGATAGGCTCTGCACCGTGGAGCAGGTTCTCTCCAGATAAATTACCCTTGTTTTCATATCCAGTCTTTGAACTTTCCTAATGAATACGCGAGCGATGGGGTTAGAAATTAAAGTTCTTCTGCCCAAGGCTTCTCTTGTAGATTTACACACGTGCTTTTCTTACTCTCATCTAAGTTCCAACTCGTCCCGCGTAACAGATACTACACATCCTTTTCTCCTGGCAACCGTTCTATATCTTTCCGTGCCTGTCGTGCTCATGGGTTCAGGCATTTCGATCCCTCCGCGCTCGGTTTGTCACGAAAACGGCTAGCCCACCCCGGTGTATTCTCAACCTTCGATGCTGCCAATCACCAGGCTTGGATACATGTTATCCTATGCGTGCCTCTTTGATAGCCGTCCGCTCAACGCACATGCTCCTGTAGCACTTGTCACATGGGGTCAATCGAGTCTATTCTCTTCTGAGGATTGAATACCGCCGATCGGGTCTTTTCGCTCCCTCTCTGGTTGTCGGGACTCGGCCGTGGTGTCCACAGCCACCGCCACTCTGAGCCTCGACTCTACTTTTCATTTGGCGACCTTTATACCCTTTCCGCCCATTAATAGTCCTCTCCGTGAGAGCTGATAATTCAATGTCTTCCCCCGCCGCCTCGTGTCGGTGCGAGAAATTTCCTCAGTTTTAATTACGTGGAATCTTCGGAATAAATTAACAACTCGTGTTTTCAATATTGCTCGCAAAAAAAGACTGATCCGCGGAAGGCCCTTGAAGGTTTCGCGTCCGTGCTCTCTCCCTTGCTTGACCTTGGCTTGTGTCTAAAAAACTTCAAGCAGAGAAGATCAGTAGACTCGACACCTGTGGCTTTCAAGTCGAGTCACGACATCGCTATTATGTATAAGCACTTCTCTCCGACACTCCCGCTCGCTTACGGTCCCGCCAAAATCTATAGATGCTTCTTTCTGTGTGGCCACCGTTGTCCCTGTCCGGCCGATGTCGTCACTGTCGACGCCGTGACTCGATCAGCCGTTCACTTTACCCGGGATCACCTCCCGATGTCGTATCCTGGCTAATTCGTCGGCCCATCGCCCTCTGCCCCGTCGTCTAATCCCTCGTTGGGTCCGTCTCTCTGAGAGTCCGAGGTCCAGGACGTCATAGTTGTGTGGCCACCCGATGTCATAATCTGTGTCTATTCCCTCGCTAGGGCCAATGCCGATATGCCCTTGGCCCCGTCGTCTCGTATGTCGTCACCATTAATCGATCAGTTTTGCTTACTATCACCTCCGGTGATTCTTTTTTTTTGGTGTGGCCATGACAGTGCATTCGCCACCGCCAAGTCACTATGCCATTTCATTGTCTGTGATGAATTCTTCTGCTACCTGAGGGAATGAATCGTCGTTCTCATTCTGATGTAGGCATGGAAGTGGAATAGAGTTGGTCCCTCCAATAGCCAACGGCACACCGTGACCTATTTCCAAATTCCAGATCCTTCGTACATATTCACACCGCGTAACCACTTGGATACACGTCCTACTGCCGCAATATATGAATTCTTTTTCAATTTCATTTGATTTTATTTCGGTCGTTCGTGAATCGTCTCTAGTACTAAATTACATGAACATCCGGTACAACACAGAGTCCCTCCGTGTGTAATACAATGTGAAATAACCAAGAAATACGCAACACAGATAGAGATAAATGACAGGGAGAGGGGAGTGAGGGGGGAGGGAAAGGACAAGTAAGTATATACAATGAATGAATGAATAATAATAAAGAACTCTACGCCAGCGAGAAGCCCTCCCAATGCCCGATACCTGGCTGGGGGAAACTAAAATCCATGAGGTCGTTGAGATACTCGTTCGGAAGATTCGTCGAGAGATAATAGTCGATGGTGTTATCGACCATTACCGGACTGGTCTCTGGGAAGAAAGAAGCCGGGGAATGGTACTCAATGGGAGAACTACAAGGAGTGTAGTCATAGGAATAAGTTTCGGCGGGATTTGGGTAGAGGAAGGAAGAAAAGTCGGACTGGGCAGGAGAGAAGTCGGACTGGGCGCCGGGAGAGAAGCAGTCATACGAATTGGGAGACTCGGGGTAGTACGAAGCATTGTTGTCGGTGCAGAGCGAGCTGAGGAATGCTGTGTCGAGATCGATGACTGGCGCCTCACGCTCAGTGGGTACGATAGGCGCCGCTGGCTCAAGAACAAGGGGGGGAAGAGGGGGAGTCGAACGTTCGCGCTTCTAGGACAATCCGTTAGAATATTCCGCCGAAAACAAACACAGAAAACATACCACGGAAGACGTCTTCCTCCGCCTCTCCTCCTTGCCCTTTTCCTGCCGAAATGCACTTTCGGTAATCGGTACCTCAAATCGCGTGATGATCTCCGGGACGTGCGTCTTGTCAAACTCTTTGATCGCCTCGTCCAACTGTGCGCCCTTCAAGCCTTCCACGAGCAGCTCGGCAATCTTGGCGCACCTCTTCGTATCCTTCGGTTCAACCTCCCGTACTTTCCGCCGTCCCTTCGTTCTAGTCTCTCCACCTTCTTTACCGGGCCGGAATGCATACCCGGGGAATCGCCGCCTGTGCTCATCGAGCGCCGCACGCGCCTTGTCGTGCCACACCTGCCTCTCGCCCTCTGGGAGTCCCTGCCATGTCATCCCGATGATCTTGGACAGGGTCGAGTGGTTCGTTTCGACGTCGGTAGAGACATGCTGTGATTTAATAAAAGACGAGCGAAAGAGGATAAAAGCATTGGGTGGGCGGGGGATATGCGTCGGGGGTTTCTTTTTGCTGTGGCGGGGAGACTGGGCCGGTAAGTGGGTGTGCGAGGAGGGGGATGAGGGCAGAGTCCAGACGATCTGAGTACCCATGTCGCTGGAAAGTGTTTTAGGCATCGCAAGTCGGAGGGGGAGGAGGTGTCGCTGGGGAAGAGGATGTGAAGTAAGTGGGGGGTAGGTAGGAATGATTAGATCTCGGATTTGAATGCAAAAGCTGCGATTAAGAAAGGGCCCGTGAACGTGGACGGAAGTCCGGCCCTGGTGAGAATTATGTAAAACGTAATCGTCTTTTTTTCCCTTGTATTCTCTTCCCTATCTCTTGCCTGGACTCCCCCTTTGTACTTCCCCTCGTCCCTTCCCCTCCGATATACTTCCGCGGAACCAAATTTCACGATCATATTTGTTGTCTCGAGCTAGTTGACCATGCATAGAGAGGACGCAGCGTCCACTTGAAATCTCCCCTCTTATCCCCATCTATCATTACCAATTTCAATTCACCTCATGCCAACCCTCGAATCAAATCCCGTGGCGTTGTACTTTTTTCCCCCTACCCATCTCCCCGTGTGTCCGAGAACTCTATCAAACGTTGATGTGAATGAGTATGTAAATCATCTAGGCCGCGTGATACGAGGTGGCGGACTCGTCTACTACGTCGTTGAAAGTCAAAAACCACAGTACTGACTCTCTGAAATTGAGCTCGTTCCACGATCCACCTAATAGCACGACGAGAATTAAAAAAATTATTAATCCCGCTTCCACCGCCGGAGTTATCACCTCAAGGCTTCGAATAAATTGCGCCTTCTTGTCCCCCCTTTGGCTAGAGGTCAGATGAATGATACGATGGACCCTCTACCCACCGCACGGACCCAGATCAGACAATTTTATGGTGGCGCAACGCGGGTCCTTTGCTCGGCGGGCAAAGTAGTTCGTTGATGCAATGTAGCGGCCAGAGCATGGAAAGCAAGGGAAATTCAGATATATCAAGTTACCGGGTTCTGATAAGTACGAGCCTGGATAAGGGGAACGACCGGGGCTTGGTAATATCACTGTTCGCCAAAAATTCGGAGATATCGGATTGACGAGTGGAAGACTGGTTATGACATACCAATAGTTGAGGCGAGTCGATATGAAGCTATGAGTCATAGCGTGGCGCAAGGAATGTCACTCGATTCTGCATCCGACACCGGCTGCGCAGAAGGGCACTAACGACTAGCGTTCCCTATTCGATCCGTCCCTAAATTCGGGTTCAAACGCTCTCGAAAATATTCGGGTTCTCGCCGGAGTTGGAACTCGACATTGATGAGAAATCATAACATATTATTGAGAAATTGTTGATATATCTCGAGCCCGGGTCCTTCTGATATCACTGTCCAGAAAAATACCGACATACCGGATTGACGAGTAGAGTATTCAATAGACGGTGAGGCGAGTTGTATGAGCATAGCGTGGCACGGGGATTATTACTGGATTCCACATTCGTCCGAGAACGAACCTGGCAGAAGGGCATGAATTTTGACGCGAGGCAATGGAACCATGCCCAAGGTTCTCTCAGAATAACACGTTGTAAAAAAATCAGAACTCGATAGTAGAGTCATTTCACGTGGGCCTACTGTTATCTACATACGGAATTTAAGCCGTAGCAGGTGTGTTAATTTACGACAGGCAAAGTGACTTTTCTCAGGTTTCACCCAATGGTATATAACAAGTTGGGGTCTGATGATGATTCAGGCCTGAGTACGCCTGATCTCAGTGCACAGGGGGGAACGGCTAACCAGGGATTCTTATCCACCTCATATCGACTATTAATCAACGCTCGTCGTTCATTCGAATTTTGCACTTTTGGAAGATCCTTGCTCGAAAATAAGTACCAGTTCGACAACGCTACACGTGAGATTTGTATTCCCAGAATAACACCTAATAACAGTCCACGAGGCAATCGAACCATGCCAAAGATTTCTGTCTATTGTAGAAGGAGTCTCGGAAATACTTAACACCTTGGGGGAGTTAGAACTCGACATCACATCACCAGCCTCTCATTCCACGCATAATTAAAGTCGTCAAATGAGTGGTGCAGAAGGTTTAATTTAGTCAGCCAAAGTATAGGCAAGATACTCACAAAGTAGCTTGTAAGTACTCGGGTTTCATGCAAATAAAATGTCTGATATATAGCAAATTGCCGACAGTGCGACCTGTGCGTCCATCTGATATCACAGCCCGGAGATACGAACCTCAAGGACAGTAGAGAGCGAAGCAAGAATTAGCATCCGCCTATTAAGTCTTCGTTCTGCATTTCGTATAGAAAACTCGAAGACGCTCGCCCGGAAATATCAGCTCGAGGACGAGACATCGCAACACGTGGAGTATTGTTCTGGGGATACGATTCTCACGTGGTCACCGGTCGAAGGGAGAGATCATCTTCCCGGGGATACAGCGGTCCCTCGTGCTCTCATATGCAGGGTCGCGTCAACTTCAAGATCTTAATTAACGAGGCAGGGTTCAGGGTTTGAATAGACCTACTTTGCTTAGAAGTTGGTACTCGGTACTCGGAAGATCAGTCCCGGCGGCTCTTATCGATCGATCATATTTTTGCTCCCATGGAGGCATCGGGGGGTGGGATCCTCGATCGTTGGACGGGGGAGAATTGTTTTTGCGGCAGGATGGGTAAGGAGAATGTACAAGGGGGAAAAAGAGAGACTGAAGGGTGGGGCAGAATACACAGCCACAACTTAAGCTGCCACAGAGATTTGTCCTGCCGTGAAACGGAGCTAAGTAGTTAAAGTACGTAGGTGCGGGAGGAACGATGACCCCAAGAACGAGAGTACGTGATGGAAATAAGGTTCCTCGCTAGACATGTACATCTGTCGCTGATGAGAAGAGCGCAACGTTGAGGAATTGAAAGCCACGTCCGATCGAAAGATGGAAAGAGGACCGCCTCAGCGGCCGTTGACTTGACGATCTTACGAGAAGAGTCCTCGTCCTAGCGACGAGAATAGCGGGCTGTATTTAGCGGGCTGGTGGGAGAGTGGGAAGAAGCCGGAAAGATAGAGTGTCGTGATATGGTGGGGGAGAAGAAGGAAAATGGGGTCGGAGGCGAGTGTATTCTGGGCCATTTCACTTCATCAGGCGACGGCAACGACGTTACAATCTCTGGTAGTATATCGGTTAGTACACGCGCCTGTCATGAGGAAATGGTCGCTCTGAACGCGCGCAAGCTGGGTTCGACTCCCAGCCAGAGAGGTCCACGGAGCGTCGTGATGCTACTTTTTGAATTTTGCAGCCTGAGACCCTCAAGGGCCAAACAAAACTCAAGTGATTCGGGCGGGCCTCGTAACGTTTTGAATATTTTTGCAGAAGTCCTTAACTGATTCGTCGGCACACTCAAGAAAGGCATACAACTCAGGTGTCGAATGCTTATCTTAACGCTGGATTGAAGGAGTAACTCAGATGGTCCTGCAGAAAAGAGGAAAGTAAAACAAGATGCTGAGATGGAACGGAACAAACATAACACAACGGTCCAGCTACCTCTCGAAAGTGGACGAGAAAATAGTAGAGATGGTCCCCTATCAATAATCAATGATCCACAACAATCGAGAGTACTTCCGATAAACATTCACACGACCAGGGATCAGAGGATACAGTCGGTTGCGATACACTAGCTGGGGGCGAAGGGTCCGTCCCGAAATGCCAATCAAATGCTAGTCCTTGAGAAAGAATCGAGAATGTCGCCAAATACAACAATATCTTTACGGCCGCAGAAGTTCGTGACCCGACTCGTGCTTGATGGTGAGGACTTGATAAAGTTCGACACACGGGGATAATGAACTAGTGGAAGGGCAGCAATAACCCGGTGTGGGAAAAGCCAGTTGAAGGGAAGAAAATCCACTTTCAAGACAAAGTGGAGATGAATAGACAGTACGACCGGCATACTGGAGTGCGAGCAAAGTACAATGATACAACCGGCTTTGATAAAATTAGAAAGATTAGTAGTAATTAGCAAGTACAAGAGCACGGCCTTAAAACATGATACTCTCGTCGTTGTGAAGTTCAGCCATCAAATTCGGGGATGCCAGAAGAGAGCTCGCTATTTTCCTAAAAGCGAACATGAGACTAGATATGCCAACTTTAGAGACATCGGCTAGTGTTATGAATTGGAGCGGAATCTTTTCACGGAGTGATCAAAATGCCTAGAGCAAACAGACAGAGATTTGAGACCGGTTGCCAGGAGAGAGTATTACGCAGTATCTGTACAGGGGGGAGCCAGAGGATAAGGCAAAGGTGCGAAAGCACACGGGTGAATCTCATGTCGCTGGATCGTGCACGTTGCTAGGATCCTCGATCGTTTTGGGAAGAACGGTTTGGGCGGTATGAGATAGTAGGTTGTTAATGACAATCCCAGTTACCGAAAAAAAACGATATCTGCTCGCGAGCTAAGGAGTCTGCGAGCGAATTTTAGTTCACCGTATTGGAGGGCAACCTAGAATGCGCTTTAGACTTGGTTTCGTCTTGAAGCATACACAAGCAATCGCAAGACCGAAATTCCCCGTGTGGGGAGTGTATAAAACGGAACAGAGAGGATTGAATAAGCAGGGTAGTCATCAGTAACGGCGAAGAAGTATTTTGACCGGGCAGGTATAACTGGGGAAGAATACGAAGGATGGAAATTTTCAAAAAGGCTGACCACTCAAGAAAAAAAAAATACTTATTCGACTCGCCGCCATCGCCCATGTGCTACTAGGCAAGGATTTCTTTATACCTAGACGTCCGACAACCCAGGAGATCAAATGAGTAGGACCACTGACTTCGAGGTCAATGATCACTCGGTAGCAATTAATTATCGGAGAACAATAGTAGTACTTACCGTGGCAGGAGAAAAGAAATCCCACCGGCTCTCAAGTGCGTAGAGTTCGTTGTTACGTAGTGAGGGAAAAAATGCGAGTGGTCTGTAAGAGAAACCGGAGGGAACAATGTGTGGGATATTCGAGCTTCTCATGGCGGAGACAGTTAGTCGCCGTTTAGTTCTCGTACGGATCCACTTACGTGTTTACTTATTTCCGCGGGCATTTTGTAGGATATAAAGCTAGATAGTTGGTAGTTAGCCCCCATGTCGCGTTTGCCACAGATGTAAACCATTTCTGCGACTCACTTCATTTGAGAACGGCCCCGCGATTCTAACACAATGTCCGTGTTTGAATTTGGTTTGCATCATGCGTGGGCGATGGAAATTAATACGAATTACTGGTCTACCTGATCCGCGACGCCTTTCGTTCTACGCTCATGATGCAAAAAGTCATCCGCCATCAAGAGTCGCCCATTACTTACTCTGTCCCTCTCGCGTATTCCTTGTCGCATAATGCCGATGCTTCAGGTCTTCCTGCAGTAGTTGGAATATTACTTGCTTACCAGAATATCGTAGCACTTGATCTTCCATTTGCGATGTATCTACACCAATAATAATGGCATTTTCCAGTGCGCACTGAAATAATTCCGAGAGTATGCATACGTTGGCATATCGATGATATAGTGGTGATCCAGAGGAAGCGTAATCTTTGTTTACCGTGACCGGCGACAAGGTAATGCAGTATGGTGTTGCGGAATTCCAGTTGAGGATGAAGGTCCAACGCGCAGTCAACGCAGCACGCTTGGTAGATACGAAAACGACGGTGAACACAGCATTTGATATAATAGGTGACGTAGATGCAAGAGATGTGATTCGCGTTGAAGGGGCAGTGTGGATAGAATAAAGTTCGAGAAAGCATGACGCACGTTCGCACAACATGATATAGCCGCGTAAAAACAATTGATTCGTGTGATTGAATTATGACCGAAATACAGTCTGGATTATACAAACGGGAATATCAGAAGAGGCGAGGAGGCAGTAGTTTCCAGGAGAAGTGGCCTCACCTCTCAGGGCGTAGGAAATAAGATTTACATTGCGCATCGGGGCGAAAGGAGACTCTGAGAGAGCAGCGCGGTTGAGGCGCTGTTTCCCCGGATTTATCATGTACGAATACATCCAGGTATACAGTCAGGACTGGGAGAATTCCGGACGGAGTCCTTTCGGAGCATGTAACGCTACCAATGAATGAATGCTCACCGTGTGTAGTGAGAATTAAAATGACCAGCTGAACGGTCAAGTATAGTTCAATGTTGACCTGGTAACAGCTATTTGAGATCCTGTGCCGGACAATTCAGTGGGGTGAGAAGATCTGCTTCAAGAGAGAAGGAGAATTGAAGGCCACTCGTTCGACAGACTTTCATGACGAGCGCATGTAGTCCCTCGGAACATGCAAATACACAACAATGTGTGGATCTTTTGGAAGTAAAAGTCAAGGATGGAATACAGATTAATCCCGAAAGTCCAATGACCAAGGAAGCTCAGTCGTGTCTCGACAGAGCCATACACGTTGGAAACGATCATAGCATCCAAAACTGAGATTAGACCTGAACTGGACCCTCTTCTAAGGCCTTGTTAGAGGCTTGGCTACCAGGCTAAGCTGAGCCGGACTTTCCGCAAACCTTGGCAAGACCTCGCGAAGCAATGGGAGGAACAGTGGAGCTCAGAGGTACAGTTCGCCGAAAGGAGTATAACTTCTACATTTTATTGAAGGGAGGTACAAGGAATTTAGCAAGAGCCGAGTGTCAGGAAATCAAACTGCTTACAGAGAGCATATCGATGTGTAGCGTTGAGAGGCAGTGACGGACTACCGGTCCGATTCTGAACCCTCTTCGACCGACGACCGGAGTATGCCGGATGGCTTTTTTTCTTACTGTTGCCCACTGCGAGGGCGCATCGTTTCTCCATAAATGGACTCGCGCGCCCCCGTCGGGTTAAAAACTAGATACCTGTCGCTCTAGCCTCTTGAATTATTGAAACTTGATTCTCCTGTGGCGATTAACCGTCCTTAATCGAAGCTAAGTTCAGGGCGCTTCAGTTTCCTCATTTCGTTGTCCGATCTCGCTCCTCTTATGTATATTGTAGTCTTCAGGACCATGGTGGCGTTCGCACAACCATTATTATCCACCTCAACTGGAATGCAACAGGGGTATCGGTACAATGACGCTCGGACACCTTATCTCGAGCCTCCTGTATCCATCAGATTTGTTAACTGTGATACGAATCTCTCCGTTCTAGACTCTTAAGTAAGTATCTCCAGTTTCATTAACATATCCAGGAACATTGCTCACTGGACGATTCCTTCTAGACAAAACCGCTGGCGGTCAAACTCAAGTTTTGATTTTATCGGAAACAGAACGACTCTTCACTTTCACGGTATACGCGCACACACGGCTCACGGAACGCATTGTCCCGAAGACGCGTCCCCTCCTTAATTAAGTCGCGTGAGAACCAACCGTTAGTTGCCGCGATTGCTCAGGGTCAATTTGACGACGACCATCAAGCGGTGCCAGCATTGCCGCAGCAGTCCTCTCGCTCCATGGCCTCCAAGAGCAAGCCGTCTCTCCGTCCTGGAAGGGGACGGCAGCGAAAAGGTGTCCTTGCCGTTGATACCCATCTAGGGTCTTACGACCGCACGGATCCGTTTCGCGCGTTCAGCGTCCTTGCAGGTCTCCTGGGATCCTTAGCTTCGCGTCTTGGAGGATGCCAATACAAACTCACGCCAGAAGAACACAAACTCTCACTTCATCTCCTTACGATTGTCGAGCCCTACATTGGCGGCGCCCCTTCCCAGCGCACTCTCATTACGCGTCAGCCTACCGAGATTCTCGATGCCATCGTGTTCCACATCGACTCGAAGCAGGACTTGTTAGCGCTGGCCTCGTCCTGTCAGCGTATGCATGGCATCATTATTCCCCGGCATGTAGACTATCGAGTCCTGCGATGCAAGGTCAGCTCGATCAGCATGTGGAACCACTTGATCGTCAATCGATCCTTGGCGAAGAACGTGAGGAGGCTGGAGATTTTGGACGAGAGGACGTCGGTGGATGCACTGCGGATACCAGGAGGAATTGTGGGCACGGATACCGACTTGGAATCGACAGACGACGAGCTGGCAATGCACGAAAAGCAGGAGAGATATCTCGTCTCGGCGTTGACGAAGATGACTGCACTGAACTCGTTCGTGTGGTCGTGCAATCACTCCCCGATCTCTATCGATAATGTTTGGCCTACTTTATTGAAATGCCATTCGTTATCTGAGGTTGAGATCCACGATAACATGGTCTTCGGACCGACATCCGGTGAAGATAGTCAGGCGGCTCGTTCTCTTGTCGTTAGTCCT